AAGGGTTTTGTATACCCTTCTTGTGTATCCTGTCTACTTCCCACAGTTATTGAACATAGCTTTAGTAAGCTCTCTGTTCCGAGTCAGGTCCTTGCATGTTCCCGAAGAAAGTAAGACGGAACATTGACCTGATAAACTAACGTATTCAATTTAATATTAAAGGAAAAAAATGCATAACTAAATCGTTAAAGTTCAAGAGGATATAGATTTGAACATACGTTTAAAGTCCATTACAGTTTTAATTCGAATGATCGGACTTTACCATAACGTCCAGAATAGTTTTTATGATTCTACCAAGTTTCCATAACAGTTTGTTTTTATTATCTCTTTCAACTAAAACAACATCTCTTACCTTTAGTTCCGGTTGAAGTTTCGGATTCTCAAGTGGTGGACAGTTCTAAGATCTAATAAATATTGTTGCTTCCATTTGCACCACAAATGTTTTAACAGCAATTCTTGATAAAGCTTTCTTTTTAAGAGCGTGTCTCTTGTCGTTTCGCTACCGATGATTCTAGAAAAAATCAAAGGATAGTTCAAATCAGTTTGTCCAATGTTTAGGAAGTGCATTGGAGCCAGGGGTTGTGGCTCATCATTGTCGTTGTAAACGTAACTTAGAGGTCGTGAATTAAGAACTGACTCCACCTGACAAGTAGTGTAGACATTTCTTCGAATGTCAACAATGCTTTTCCTACGATTTTTCTTAAACATTCTTTAACATATCTGACAAGTCTCTCATAAAACCCTCCCCACCATGGGTCTCGCTCGATTATAAATTTCCAATGGATTCTTTCTTTGGCAATGAAATTCTTGAATTTGTCCTCTTTTAAAACTTTTGAAAAATTCTCAAGTTCTTTCTTTGTCCTCTGAAAGGTCTTGGCGTTGTCAGTCAAGTAGATGATTACGCAGTTTCCTCTTCTGCTCAAAAATCTACGAAATGCAAGTAAAAAAGGATTCTGTTGACATATCTGATACAAGTTCTAGTGTACAGCTCGCGTTACTGCACAAAAGAACAAAACAATATAGGATTTTTCGAATTTGAGAAGTCTTTAGAATTCTTTACGTAAACTGGTCCGGCGAAATCAATTCCACAGACTGCAAATGGAGGTGATTCTTTGGATTCTATCCTTTGGTAAGGGTGTTGTCATCTGATCTGCTGGTTTAGCTAAATATTGTTGGCCAATCATACAACCATTTAATGCTTTTTGACTAACTGGCATCGTTTAGGAATCCAGAAACTTGATCTGACTTTGGCTAAAGTTGCAGCAATTTCTCCATGCATTATCTTCTCATGTTCTTCGCGCTTTGTAGTACAATTAGTATCGTCAGTCGGGAATTTTTAGGTAGGATTATACTAGGATACTTATTATCTAGTGAGAAAGTCAGAAAATTCCTAATCTTCCTCTCAACCTCATGATTTCCTTTTCATCAATGTAAGGAAGAAAATTGTACAAAGGAGAATTTTTCCAACCGAATTGACCTTCTTTGAGGGATTTATATTCTTTCGGCAAAAAACTTCTTTTGCTCTGATCTTATCCAGAAATTTTCTGCTTCTTGTAACTCTTCAGCTGTGAGAGTTCCTTGAATGTCACTAGTTTTTCTTAATTTTCTGATGAAACGTGTTGTTCAAGCAATGAGATTCTCAACACCTTCTCTAATTTGCTATATTTTGATATGTCAAAAAGATCATCTGTACTTTTTTCGATTTGTACATTCAAGTTGATGTATATCACCGAATCCCTTTCGGTATTCCAGCTTGTTTTCATCTATTGTTTCTATAATATCTAATCTTGGCCAAAGTTCGTGAGGGAAGTTGAAGCCACTGGGGACCTTGCGTCCAAATGGATCTCGTTTATTAACTTGGAAATCTTCGTTCCTCGAGATGCGAGATCTGCGGGGTTGTGGATACCATGGGCAATAATGCCAATCTTGAGGTGAACTCAATTTTTGTATTTCTTCGACACAATTTTTGACAAAGGATTTGAAGGCTTCAGGTTGTTTTTGGATCCAAAAATAGGTAACTGTTGAGTCTGTCCAAAAATAGCGCGGAATTTTCAATTTCAGTGCTTTCAGAATATTGCTGACTAACTTAGCTGATAACAATGCCTCCATTAATTGTAACCTCGGTAAAGTAAGGGATTTTAGTGGGTCTACTCTATTTTTAGAAGAGACAAAGGCCGTTTTGAATTCTTTGATTTTCTGTCGTGAAACTTAAATATGCGACTGTACCATAGGCTTTGACACTTGCATCTGAAAAGCAATGCAATTCGAGATTTTCGACATTAATCACGAGAAAAAATTAATCCTTATCCTTCCACGCAAGTCAAACGGAATGAAAAGTATTAACAATATCCACCGACTCCGAAACATAAACAACTGTCACCACGCATGAATTTATGGCAGCGCGTCATCAAATCGAAACTGCATTTTTGTTTTCAAAAAATGACTCAGAGTCCTGTTTATGCTTTACGTTAATGAGAGAAAGATATTTTGAAGAACCAAGCGCGGTATTTTTTTTGTCTTGCCACTAAGCACAAAATGTTCAATGCCGCAACTTCAAACTAAAGTTTGTAAAATTTGCAAAGGTAAGCATAGGAAGCCATATGTTTTAAATCCAGTTCGATAGTTAAAATACACCAAGTGATAAAAATGATAGTATATCATTTCGAGAATGATACACAAATAAAGAAGAGAAAAAGAAATTGTTTCGGCCGTTTCGCATTGTAAATAGCAAATTCTTTACAGACTTGCACGTAAAGTTAAAAACAGCTAGGAAAAGGTATTTGCCAGACTTCTCTTGGATAGTGGAAGTATGAAAAATTTTTGTGCTCGCGAATTAGCGAACACATCAAACCTCGAAGTCATAAGAAAACAAAAATTGACTGTGTATGTTTTTGGTAATACCTCAACCATCCAAAAAAAAAAAAAATTATGACGTAGTTAAATTAATTTTAGAACATAGAAGTTCTCCCGTTTCTAGAATAGAAGATGGATTATTAGTAACTGACCATATATTAGATACAGATATTTCTCCTCCTAAATCAAAAGAAATCAAGCAAAATAAACGGTTGAAAAATTTGATACTCGCAGATTTTCCCGATTGTAAAAAACACATTGCTATTCTAATTGGAGCAGATTATTATTACAACATAGTAATTGGACACATTAAATGCTTAAGCAAACACCTTGTTTGCAGTGGAAATTATTTGCGGCTGGTGTCTACAAGGAGGAAAAGGTGATGATGATGTTTCTTTAGCTTTCAATGTAGTTGTAGAGGAAGATTTTTGATTTCCAAACAAATAACAAATTTTAGGAATTGGAAAACTCAGGACTTATTGATAAGAGGGAAAAACTTCGATTAACTGAAAATGAAGTCTTCGAATATTTCGAATAAAATATAACATATGAAAATTCTCGCTATAAAGTTAGATTGCCTTGGAAACATGAACATCAAATCTAAATAATAATAAGGAAATCGCGGAAGAAAGTTTGTCGACTTAGGAAACGATTTTTAAAAAAATCCTAATCTATTTTCCGAATACAGGAACGATTAAGAGATCAGTTAAACAAAATACTATTATCGAACCGTTGCAGAAATTTGAAATGAAGAGGATGTCGTGTTTTACTTACTACATAGAGAAGTTATACGCGAGGATCGAGCTACAAGTAATTACGTATATTTATGATGCATCATGCATGCCCAGGATCCATTTCTTTAAATGGCTGTCTACATGTTGGGCCAAATTTATATCCTGAATATTCAAAATATGTTAAGATTCGGTATAATACAATAGTTTCACCGCAGATATAAAACAGGCCTTTTTACAGTTCTCATACATGAAAAGGATCGGGATGCAACAGTTTTCTGTTTTCGAATTCCCTAATGATGAAACTATTTATCCTGACATATATAAGTTCACAAGATTTTTATTCGGAATAAATAGTAGTCTATTTCTATTAGCCGCTACCATTAAACATCATCTGAAAAAATATAATAAACTTTGTCCTACAACGTTTCGTTTCATTAGAAAGCTGAGTTGATATGAAAAAAGCTGTGTACGATACGCCATATTTCAGCCCGTTTTTTTTTTTTTTTAAATCAAGTTCGAAACAATTCTGAACAGCCGCACCAGCGTGTGGTGGGGTTTGTGTTAAAGAATAACGTGTGATGTTGAGAGGCCCCAACTTGTCAGCAATAGTAGTAGTGATGCTATGAACGGAATACACAGACTCTTAAGAAGGGTTAAACTCCCTTTTTATTCACTTTAGAAGTCACAGTTGCGTTCACTCGACGCTCACAAACTACGCCGACCGGGGGGTTAAACAAAAATAGAAAAGTACAAACTAAAATGAATGACAGGATGAATAACTAACGAAAGTCACATCTACAAGGCTCTATAATTGTAACTATCTTAACCGCGTTCTAAGATACAGCTGAGATTCAGAAAACTTCTGATTAAGAGTTGAAAGATTCAAAAACTGCCGAAGTAGGCACACATAGGCCGAAACGCGCGGTTCTAAATTTCTACCTAGCAACCGTCACGCTCGTGATTCAAGAAGCACACTTACAAATCCGTTTCCCTTCTATTTAACTCAATTACTTCTGCTAAAAAATTGAATACTCTGCCGTTCTACTAGATTACATACTCTGGCATGGCAATTCAGGGGAAAGTAAAGGCTTGACAGAAAGATAGCTTAAATAAATGTTAGTTAACATAAATATAAACCCTACAAACGTAACTTCATGAACGTAACTAAAATTATGCGTATTTTGAGAAACAAATTTTTAAGTCTTTGCTTGAATAATAACCTTTAATGATTCTTTTTTAAGAAAATATTTTCAGTCGTACTGAAATAAGGAAAAAAACATGCACAAAAATGCTTGTTCAAAAAATAGCAATTCTTATAAAAATTTGTAAAACTTAATGAAAAAAATGGGTTGCTAAATATTTTAATCTTATCTACCATTTATTAAATGAACATTTGCTTTTCTTTTTTTCAAGTTGGATTACCCATCCTTTGCATTAAATCCTGAGTATTTGTTGGTTGCGAATGATAGTTATAGAAGACTATACTTAACATTGATGTCTGAGGCACCTGGCCATTTAGTGATCGAGGATAAATTCCTTAATTTCACTGACTGGAACAGAAGCGTACAAAATGAACTGAACGATATAATCAATTTCGAAGTCAAGCTCGCTAATGTAAGTGCAAAAGACTTTTGATTTTCTTTCTAATCCGCTTAATTGTCTTGGTAATATTTGTCTGTTCTCTTTGCGTATTAATAATTTAATAATTTTTCGGATGATTACTTCAATTTCTGCATATATTCTATAAAGGTATTGATATTCTTAATATTCTTGCAAAAATGAGGATTTTAAGGGCATCTGTCTAACTGAATTTATTGTATACATTTAGAAATAACTCTAACGGACAACATACATATTTTAACTGTGTTTCAGATATTGCGGATCCCATAGAAGTTAGTGAAGCTTTTTGTATCAAGTTAAACACAGAATACACTAAAACGAAGCTTGAAGTCTGAAATTTCCGATTATATTTAAAATTTTGAAGACGACTTTACGATTAGAAGATCTCAAAAACCAAACAAAAATTAAATTCCTAAAGTGTACAAATAAAACGCTTCTCTTCTTAAATAAAAGGATATTTCCCTTGCTTTGAAACTGTGCCGTTTGTTTCAATAAAATTCAATTCAAAACGAATTTCAACTTGAAAAAAATTACATCTATACTGATTTTGAATGTAAATTGTATAAACAAAAAACTATTGATAGTTCTTTGTAACATAAACTTTTATTCGTCTGATCAAAACACATTGAACAGCATGTCACGTGTTATTATCAGAAGTCTCTGCCTTGTTTGTTTTGTGCAACAGAAAACATTAAACTCTAGTTGTTGAGGACAGAGCAATGTGGTGAAGAAATTGTTTCAAAATTCGATTTTTGATGTTTTGTTTGTTTGTTTGTTTAACGCCAAAATAATTTTTCATTTGGCGGCGCACTTATATGTTTAGAATTTTGTCACGGCGCCCTAGTCGTCTTCAACGAAGATTTGCGCTTTACAACCTGCTTACTACATTGTGTCATAGCAAATCGCTACACTTTATTAAATACGACTGTATATTGATACTAGTGACCAGGCACAAAAATGACAACCACAATATGTGGCTTATATAGGTATAAATTGAACTAATACCCCCATAAGAATATTCTTATATATATTCGTATAATATTCCACAAGAATATTATATTATATTTTTCCTTATTATTAAAGAAAAATAGCAAAATATCAATGAGACGGTGAGCTTGCCGATATCCACAAAGTTTTTCAAAGGGAGGGATCAGACTTGACGCTGCCACTCTCATTTTTTGCTCCACGTTGATCTTTGTACAATGTTTGTTCTTTATTACACATACAGCAGAAAATCTGGTTTCGCATAAATATGATGCTGCAAAAGATATGAGAATCCTTAAAGCTTTTGAACTTAGAATTGGATATTCATTTTTGATGATTATCCAAAACTCCACCAAATCGGAACAAGCGAATTTTGTTTTAAGGTTGTTGTAGCAAGAGCGTTCATTGAAACGCTCTTCTTCTTGCGAAGTGAATTCTAGTGGAGCTTGAGCATGGAAAGGATTTTGGATCCAAGAAAATTTCTCAAAATTTTTTCTTCCGCAAAATATTTTGCAAATTATTCAGTGAGCTTCGAAAGGTGTTCCTTGAAAAGAGACAGCAATTTGTGATATACAATCCGTAAAAGTGCAAACAGGAGCACCTCGCGGCGCCCCTGTTTACTTTTCACAGAACCTAAGGGCGTCGCGGCGCACACTTTGGGAACCCCCTGGTTTGATGAATAAACTAAAACATCACAATTTTACTGTTTGCACCACTGAAAAGAGCGGAAAAAATGTTTTAAATGAAAGTTATGTGAAATTTGTATCTTAACTTCTGAAATGTTGGTAAATTTTCGAAAATCGCTCTGTTTTTCCAACTACGAGTATTTGACGTCCATGCTTTTCAGATTTCAACACCTTAAAATTTATGATATTTTGTCATATTACAAAAGAAAGAATACGTCTTTTATTAAAATAAACCCTTATGAAAAAAATTTTTTGTGGACGCCACATGACTTCCTTGCACGACTTATTAAATTATACTCACTTTTTTCTGCACTTCATTTAAAATTATTTCCTTGAATTCTAATTTAATTAACCAATTCCTCCAAGCTGAAAATGATACCAAAAATTACAGATTTTAAGATTTAATACCACTAATTTTTATCAAACGAAAGTCAAACTTCTTGTATGTTTATTTTTTCATAACGAGTGTAAACCTTTACAAAGTGTAAATATAGGAACCGGGACTTCCCATCAAGAGTTAGATTTCGTTATTTGTCCAAAATTACATGTTTTTTAATTTGACATTGCTAAAAAACTTGAATATATTCCGTCATTTACTTGTTGCATTTCATTTAATCATAACACTTGGAATTATTTTAGTTTAATTAACCAGTCAAGCCAAGCTGAAAATGACAACAAAAGTTATAACTTTTGAAATTAAATATCACGGTCTACTTTTGTCGTACGAGAGTGAAACTACTTATAGTTTATTTTTCATTACGAGAACAAAACTTTCCTAAATGCAGGTATATAGGACGTGCAAGGTCGCTTTAAAAGTTAACTTCTGTTATTTGTCGAAAATTCAGTTTTACTTCCTTGCACGAAGTAAAAAGGAAGTATTGTAATCGCGAAAAATTTCGGGTATCATATTTCAAAGAAAATACCCATTTTGACCGCTATCGAATGCAATTTAACGACGTTTTTCCACGGCATCTGTATATAAGGACAGAATAAAGGACTCTTTTTTCCCAAAAGAGTTATAAAACTGATTTAAAATAAATTCGTAAGAGAAATTTTCGTGGCGTCTGTGCCTACATACATGTATGGCATAACTCAAAACGAGTAGCCTCAGAACGTTGAAATTTTGTGTAAAGGACTGCTGTAACATGTAAATGTGCACCTCCTATTTGGTTGTAATCTGCCGCACCAAAAACATATAATATATGTATTATATATATATATATCCACTCTCTTACTCGATTCAGTGATCTCAGTTTTTTATTCTATATGTTTGTAAATCGTGCATTTTTTGCTTTAAAAATGATTGAATTATGTTGTTCTGATCTACTGGTTAAGGTTTTTTATGTTTTTAGTGAATCTGCATGCAATATCTGTAGAATTATCAACAATTTAAAAGTTGTTTAAGTGCCACTAAGCCTAATTATTTTTACCGTAGCAGCGATATTTGTTTGCATTTGAAATTTAGCAAAATAGCGGATTTGTTGCCAATTTAGGAGAAACTGAGCTCCGCAACAACAAAGATAACGTCTTCTTTTATTATCGCAAATTAAATCATGCATAATCCATTCTGGAATTTATTCGAGGAAATAAGTGTTTAAGATTTACTTCGTATTTTTTAATATAGATATTTTCAAATATCAGATATATAGATATATTGTATATTTTTGCCTTGTTGCGAAGTGACAACTGAATTAATTGAATAAGAAATACTGAATCGTCTGTGAAAAATTGTTTCTTTTTGTTTGTTTGTTTAATTTCTTTTACACGTTGTTTTAGATTTATTATAGTATTTCAATAGAATATGTGGCAACGATTAGATAATTCTTCAGATGATATATATACATTTTGCTATCATATGAGTTATATCTTTGTTATCTGAGTTATAAAATGAATGAAATGTAACGCTGTTAAATGAAACTAGCGCCAGAGTGTCGCTATGGTTAACAAATGTAGTGAATTTAAAGAGTGTATTTATTCTAGTGAGGTTTATGCGCTATTGACGAAGTAGATTTAATTCAATCCTATAAGTTTAAATGAAATGCAAGAAAAAATGCGTATAATTTAATATTCCGTACGAGAAAGTCGTGTGGTGCGATTTGTTTTTAAATTTGACATTGCCAAACATGAATATTTTCGCCATTTGAAGCACTTCTGTAATTGAAAGTATATGAATAAGACGAAAGATTGCAAAAATGAAGGCCGGATAAAAAATTTAAGCCGGGTGAAAGAATTGGCATATATATTATAAACATATGTATTATACACACACACACACATATCTACATATATATAATCTAAAGAATGAAATGGGAATACTTCTATCAAAAATGCCAGTTAAATTAAAACTAGGAAAGACAATTTGAAATCAGCTTTAATTCCAATCAATTAAGTCATAAGAAAATAAAGAAAGTAAAAATTAAAATTAAAAACCATAAGGTAAAATAAAAAAAAATCTGATGCGGACACCACATGACTTCCTTGTACGGCCTATTAAATTATACGCACTTTTTGCTGCATTTAGTTTAAACTTGTTTCCTGGAATTTCATTAGAGACATATTTCTTAATTCAATTCTCAAGCGATTCATTCGCGGAAAGGCAAAAACACATGAAACATGAAAATATTTTCATTAACAATTGAAAAATATAGAAAAATATAAAACACCAAATACAGTTAAAACAATTAAAAAAACAAAATTTAAAGTTAAAATTAGAGTTTCTACGCAAAAACAGCGGGCCAAAAGGAAGGTTTTCCATTGCACAAAACTGAAAGTTTACTTTTATTCCCATTCGGCAGAAAGATACTGAAGCTGCAGAAAATGACTTAATTCACTTTTCGGCTTAGTTTCAAATGTAAACAAACATTTAGGCTGCTAAATTAGGGTTAGCCGTACGTAAACAACATTTAAATTATTAACAATTCTAAAACTATTGCATGCAAATTAATTAAAGGTATAAAAACCTTAACCAGAATATAAGAATAACATAGTAATTCAATCATTTTAAAAGCAAAAAATGCACAATTTACCAACATATAAAAATAAAAAAAAACCTGAGCTCACCGAGCCAAATAACAGAGTGGGTATATATATATAAATGTGTGTGTGTGTATATATATGTATGCATATATATATATATATTGGAACAAAAGGGAGGTGCATAACTGCATGCTATAGCAGTCATACACGCAAAATTTCAACGTTTTTGAGTTATGCGAGATACATACATACGTACGTGCAAACGTCAAGAAAAAATCTGTTCTGAATCCATTTTAAATCTATTTTGCAATCCGATTTGGAAAAAAGAAGAGTCCTTTATTCCAAATC